AAACAAATCCTCAAAGTTCCCGCCTCACGATTAAGAGTCTCCACACGGGCACCTGGGTGGCCCAGTTGGTTAAGCTCTGCCTTCAGACCGACTTTGGCTCAGGTCATGTTCTCACAGTTCGTGAGTTCAAGCCCCGTGTCGGGCTGTGCCGACAGCTCGGAGCCTGGAGCCTGCTTTGGATTCTGCACCTCCCTCTCTGCCCCTCCCCTGCTCGTGTTCTCTCTCTTGTCTCTCGAAAGATGAATACACGTTAAAAAAAAAAAAAATTAAAAACAAAAAAGGAGCCTCCACAGACCGTTCATTCTCTTTTCTCCATATTCTCTCTCTTCCACGTCAGCCCCTACAACTTTGGTGGGACTGGCCTTCTCGTGGGTCTCCAAGCCTGACGTACTCCTCGTCCTCGTCTGCTCTTACCATATCCCCTCCGGGCCTGTCCTCTGCCCCATAATCAACGTCTTTCCTTCAAAACTCACCTCCAGGCCCACTTCCTCGGCTTAACTCCTCTGACCTCCCTCGAGCAAGGAGCATCGGCACTTCCTGTCGGTGACTCCCCTCACCATTCTGCACAGACGGGACCTGAGTTGTATGCTGTGTGGGGGGTTATGCTTTACTGCATCCTTCCAGCACCTGGCAAAGTGCTGACCACACACATTAAAGAAAGGAGAGGAAGGGCAAGACAGACGCACTACTCAGTATGTCCAAGGCACCGGGCGCCTTCTTGTTCACTCCCCCCAGCCACGCTGTGGGGTGGACGCTAATCACCCTGTCCTCAGGGCTCCGCTCAGATGTCACATCCTCAAGGCCTTCCTGCCCACCTCGTGGCATGCCGCCTGACTGTGCAGTCACACGATCACACTGCCCCCCCCCCCACCCCGGACATTCTCTGGAGGACACATCGCTGACGGAACTGACAGACTTCTTTCTTCATTAGTTCGCTGCCTCCACGAAAATCTAATCTCGATCACAACAGGAACCTGTGTCTCGCCTACTGCTGTCTCTCCACCACCTCAAACCATACCTGGCACATAAGCACGTGAGGAAAAAGGACCCGTCCAACCACTGAGTGGATAAACGAACCTTCGTATCGCAGACGAAGCACCCGAAGCTTCGGTGGGTAAGAAACTGGCCTGAGTCACTCAGCTTCCAGAATGAAGACCGAACCCAGGTCTGGCTCTCGACTTCGCGGGTCTCGTCTGGCAACTTCTCCCGACTCTCTGAGCCTCCCTGCCTCTACTGCACTTCCTGAGCCACCCGCGTGCCATGCTTCCACATCGGCAGTACAAAGAGGGCTGGGGACGATGGGCCTCAGCCGTGACGTCCAGGAGGTGAGCGTGCCTATGAGACCATGACTTTGGTGCTGTCGAGGCCATTCCTGACCCTCGCATTGCCTTAGGTAGCTAAGGCACAGACAGGTAAAAATGGGATAATAAGAGTACCCGCTGTTGGGACGCCTGCGTGGCTCAGTCGGTTAAGCGTCCGACTTCGGCTCACGTCATGGTCTCGCTGCTCGTGAGTTCGAGGCCGCATCGGGAGCTGTGCTGACAGCTCACGGCCCGGAGCCTGGAGCCTGCTTCAGGTTCTGTCTCCGTCTCTCTGCCCCTCCCCCACTCATGCTCTGTCTCTCTCTCTCTCTCTCTCTCTCTCTCTCTAATATAAATAAAACATTAAAAAAAAAAGTACCCACTGTTAACAGGGTTGTTGTGGGCAGTGTATCACATAATTCATGCAAAGTGGTTCCAGTGGGGCTTGGCACCCAGGGAGTCCTCGTTGCTTTTAATACTAACGATGGTGATCATGATCGTGACGTTGTCTTTATAACTCTGGTCGACAACAGTCATACTAGAGCAGTGATACTACGGCACGATAATCATGCTGTGGCGTTATTATGATTATCATTATGGTTGCTCCCACATGCTGCCGTTAGCCAAAACAGAACCATTCAGGGCACCTTCGTGAAATCTCGGTTAGGTGGGTCCAGGCATCCTGTTCTCACACGGGCCCTTCACGGCAAAAGGCAAGAATTCTGAACCTTCCCCCTTTTCTTCCCTTTCCAAAGGCTCCGCTGGCCCATTCTCTGGAATTCTCGAAGAATCTCCAGAGAAGTGGGTGGGACACACTAGCTGCCACCTCGGTGTCAAACGTGACTCCAGGCCCAGGTGCACCCCCTGCTCGCTTAATTACGGACAGCATGGGACACACGTACCTCAATCTTTTTAAAGCCAGAATCCACCCAGTACAATAACTGGCTGAGGGGTTCAAAAGCCAAGGCCTCTACGGTCTCCAGGCCGGAGTTGATGATCACCTCTTGCCCTGTACTCCCATTCAGACAGAGGCGCTGAAGAGAGAAAAAGAACAAAGGCTGTGAAACGTGCGGACGACCCCGCGCCAGCTCGGTTCCCCCGATGGTAACCGTTTCCTCAACTGGCTTGGCTGGCGAGGGATGCGAGGTTTTAGATGAGTCAACTTTCCACGTGAGTGAAGCCGGTTTCCGGTCAAAGTATTCTAGAACATGTCACCGCTTCCTGTTTTCAGCAGAACACCTAAACACAACGTAATCATCTGTATGACTCTGCATTAGCGTTACGAACACTGGTTACTGAACGATGCCCTATCACAATAATGAGGTCGGAGATTACTGAGAAGCAGGATTTTGTTTGCTTTTAAAATACATGAAGCCAGACTGCTGTTATCTCTGAGTTCTTGGGTCAGTTTTCAGAGGCTCTCCTCCCTTGGGATAGCTCCACCCACCAGTCCCTCCCAATGCCCATCCCCCACCCCCCATCTCCACCCTCCTCAAAACCCGGGCACAGTAAAATTGGGTTGGAAGTCCCGAGAAAGCTTGTTGGAATTGCTTTTCTAAAAAGGATTAAGTGGGCAATGAATAAAGATCAAATAGCTCTCCTTTAAAATGCATGGGTTTGAGTGTAGATGGCTATCTATCTGGCCTGTGTGGGGATCTTTAGAGCTCACTTCCCAGTTCTTGACTGTGTTCGGAATAGCTCAAGTGGATAATTATGTGGACTGTGGAGAAGTCAAGTATTACCGGGTCATGGCTTCGGCAGAAGGACGCTTAAGAGGCAGCTGGTGCGATAGTGACTAATAATCCTACGCTGCTAGTCCTAAAATCTTCCCAGCAGGAAAAGTGAGGCTTCCCTTATAAGCCAGACTGCCGACTTGGGCTCCCTCTGTCCTTCCTACAAGGACAGAAGTAGGCAGGGCAAGAAAATGCTCAAAGAGAAGACTGAAAATTCTCATCAGCCGGCCCTGAAATGAGTTACCATGTAAAACCTCTAATACCCATTTCTGATACCTGTTGGGAATTAGAAGTGGGCCATTTGGAAAGAGGCTTATCGGGACTGGGCGATCACGAGGCGTAGCCCCCGCGAGCAGACCGAAGGGTTGACGCACCTGGATGATGTCCAAGGCCAGGTCAGACCAATACAAGCAGTTCTGCTCATAGTCAAAGTCCAGGGCCACTGCGGCCCGCAAGCCAGTGAGAGGCAGCTGCTCCGTGGCTCCTGAGGCCAGGTCATAGCGGTGGATGGACTTCCGCATGGCGTACAGGATGAACTCATTCTCCTCTGCACAGACACACAAAGCAACAGAGAGGGTGGGCCTGGGGGGTGCTGAGGAGGTCTTGGCATGCCTCGCCTGTTCTCTTCTCATGCCTAAGCCTCAGAGCCACGGGCCCGTGGCGTGGATCTAGTGGCAAGCACGGGAATCGAGATGTGGGAAGCAGAATCGCCTTTCCACTTGGGACAAGCCACTTCAACCCCTATAAATCCGTTGTCTTGTCTGCAAACCGTGTCCCTCGTTACATTTGCTCTTTTTTATCTGGGTGCCCCAGTAGGCATGCTCCAACATCCACGCTTCTGAGCTCGACCTAGAAGTCTTTCAAGTTACACATGAGAACATGGTGACCCCACGCAGCACGCTCTCCCTCGTCACAGGATTGTATCACACGGCACCGGAATCATGTTGACTGGAGACCCCTCGTCACGGAGACTCGTAGCTAATCTGTTTGCTCACCCATCCAACGTTATTCACGATGACACAGGGGCAATTATATCAACCTAGTGTGTTTCCAAAACAGTAAGACTACATTTGTTCTCGAGTACTTAACGAAACGTCTCACCACGCGATCATTCCCGAAGATTCTATCTCTACTTAACAAATACTTACACAGTGTATATACCAGCTTCCAGCGTTTGTTTCGTGGGCGTAACAACTGCCTGATGGAAGCATGACTGTTAGCTCGATTTTATACGTGAGAAAACCGACAGCAGAGAGGTTAACGCACTCAAGGTCACCCAACTCGGAAGTAGAAGAGCCACGGCTTGAACTTGGGCAGTCTGGCTCCAGGACCTACATTTTACCCACTACACAATGCTGCCTCTTACAATGGAGATGCTCACGTGGTCGTTTTTTGAAGACACAGAAATAGAGGCCCAGAGTGTTTGAGACGACTTACTTAATGTCAGACAACCAGTCACTGGAGGAGCTGGTATTCTCTCTCTTCTACTTAGGGAACGGCCTAGAAAATATTCAGATTTTTCCACAGCGATGGACACGAGCAGCACAGCCCCGTCCACGTCTAACGTGTCCATTCGGACAGTATGCTGTGTGTGGGACCAAGACCTGAATCTCTCTGCCGCAGGCCTGCAGGGTGACCGTTTTTCGCTCTCTCTGATTCCCTTCATTCAGTGAGTTCACGTGGACTAGCTGCCTGCTTCCCAGCTAAAAGGTAGATAATGCATCCCCCCAAAAAAATCTACCTACAATTTTTTTTTTTAAAGATTATTTATTTCGAGAGACAGCACACAAGCAGGTGAGGCAGAGAGAGAGGGAGAGAGAGCATCCCAAGCCGCTCCACACTGTCAGCACAGAGCCCAGGGTGGGGCTCGGTCTCATGAACCGTGAGATCGTGACCTGAGCCGAAATCAAGAGTTGGACACTTAACACCCAGGTGCCCCTACATACAATTTTTAATAAAGGTTAAGTTTGCCTACTTTTCCTTTGGTCTCATTTTACTTCAAAAATATCTAATGGGGCGCCTGGGTGGCGCAGTCGGTTAAGCGTCCGACTTCAGCCAGGTCACGATCTCGCGGTCCATGAGTT